GAAATGAAGAAAGGACCAACATAGAAAGATAAGGCGGTCCTGTAATTAAAAAAGGCAATAAATCAATAAATAAGACGTCACTCGGTTCGGTTGGATCTGACCACGATGATAAGGCAATAAAGCGTCGTAGATGCTTAAAAAAAAAAAAAAACAGTTGTGGCTTGAAAAGTGGAAATTTGTATCTTAACTTTATTTTAAACGTTGCGCTACTTTATGATATGCTTTCTTTTCGCAATTGTCAAAAGTTGGCAACAAGTGACCACAGCGGCCAGAGTATCCATCCCGACACCGCAACGGACGAAATAATAAGGAATGTAAATCCGCCCAGATAATGGTCTCTCAATGGTCACTGCGGACACGGTTTATGGGATCTATATTGGCCGAATTATGATCCCTTTCAAAAGACTGAAGTACAGCGCTTTATGTCTACAACTATGTTGGCGTTTAAAATTTCAATTCATAATGACTGTTTAAAACTGGAACAATCCTTCATTCTTTCTATAATGTAAATTTACTTCACCAAATCATATTGGGAAATATTCCCTCTAAAGGGTGAGTATACAGTACATCTTAAGGCAATTATTTAGTTATGGGGAGAACCCCAACCAACTTAATTTAATGAAATGAAACTATCAACGTCAAAGGTAAGCAATAGCTTTGGCCTCAATTTCTATCACAGGGAAATGTTACAATGCTACCACGCTGCTATTACATTTTGCAAGCTGCCGCCACACTTATAATGGTGTTGGAGCAATAGGCCTGTTGCTGTAACCATGAATACCCGATTTGACACATGTAATGGCAGCGTGCTGCTATCTTCGATGAGACAAAGCCCCAGTGTTCCAAATGCTCGTTTCGATCCGGCCAAAGCAGTGCAAATTGGGATGGCTATTTGGGAGATCAGACCGGTCGTGCCAGCCGTGATGGATAACAAGAACGACCCCGGCGAACTGCCGAAGTTTAACTACCCAGAGGCTACCCTTTGGCTTCATCCCGGCTGGTATCGATTTGGGATTCACCTTCGTGCATCCTTTTGTGACCTCCAATTAGCGAAATCAGATTTCGCAAAATGAATACACTAGCTTGACACATGGATGTAAAACCCTGCCTAATTCACGACCAGTGGACAAACACTACGCCCAATAGATGTAGTGGCAACAAACATGCTTTACGACACCATGTAGAAATGTCTCTGGTAACTGGAAGACTATAGGTATGAAATTTGACTGCATGTAGATCGAACTTACATCTGCATGAATGCCAATATGTAAAATTGTAACGGGGATGTATGTGACTATGTATGTGTGTATCTATGTATGTATGTATGTAGGTATGTAGGTATGTATGTATTGTGTATGTCGCCATGTATGTTTGTGTGGATGTAGGGAAATTGCCGTCGTAATACCGTCATACGTGGCGCTTACGGCTGAGACAATGTACGTGCAGTTGCATGAGTGTATGTCACAGTATGCTGGCAGGCCAGCGGTGACCCGGACAGCAGTGACGGAGGACAAGCAAAGGGGCGAACGGGCCCGGGGCGCTAATGGCATGCCGAACATCTCCGGTGCGTCGTACCGCACTGGCAGGGACTACCTCCGTCCAAACCCTCGAGTCATCCGCGGTGCCGGGAGGTAGCAAGCACGGCGGCGATCAGATGAACGACCACGGCGGCAAGCACGGCGGCGATCAGATGAACGACCACGGCGGCAAGCACGGCGGCGATCAAATGAACGACCACGGCGGCAAGCACGGCGACGATCAGACGAACAACCACGGCGGACCGACCCCGCAGCACCGGCCGCTCAACCGGTCACCGACGGCTGAGACATCCCGAGGCGCAACCCACAAGGCTACATTGCCAACTGGTCAGCCCGTGGGCCGACCAGAGCGCCACCTGGATGGTACCCATCCGACTGACGGCAATCACCGAGCGACGGGCACCAGATAACGCCCCGAGCCCAAGCAACCAAGCCGACGGCACCACGCCCGCCCCAGGGGCTCCGAAATCGCAACAGGCCTGAGCTGCAGCGCCGCAGGCCCCAGCTGCTGCACCCGAATGCACAAGCGGATGCCGTGCGGAAAGACATGGCAAAGCTGCAGAACGTGATGACGCTGCGAACGCTGCTGCTGCTGTGGCGGCAACGAGGACACCGCGGACGCTGCCGTGTGTCCACCTAAGCAACTACGGCAGCACCATCCTGGAAACAACACGCCGAGCTACACTGCCATCTGGTGAGCCCGGGTGACGGTCAGGACCACCACCTGTATCGCATGCGTCCACTTGGCAACCGACAACAGCAACGAGTACCACCAGGTGAAGTCCCAAAGCGTCCGAGCCAAAGCTCAAGTCGCGTCGAATCCTGAGCTGCACCGCAAGCCGAACTGCCGCGGCGAACCGCAAATGGTGACGCTGCGGAGGCTGATGCCGCGCGGAAAGAGAGCTCATGCTGCAGGACACGATGACGCTGCAGGAACGGATGCTACGCAAAACGGCCGAGGCGGCTGCGAAGGCGAACGCCGCTGCAGGACAAGATGTTGCGGAAACGTGCAAGTAAGGAAGCCACCCAATCAATCGACGGCAGCACCATCCTGGAGGACGAAGCGCCGAGCTACACTGCTATCTGATCCCTGGTGCGCCCATGTGACGTTCGGGAACGCCACCGGTATCGCATACATCCATCTGGCGGCAGTCAACAAGAACGAGGACCGGGTGAAGCCCCAACGCAACCGAGCTAAAGCTCAACGTCGCATCGAATCCTAAGCTGCTGTGCCGCTAGCCAAGCTGTCGCACCGAATACAAACGATGAAAGAAATGCCGCTGCGGAAACTGCTGCCAATGCTGCAGGACACGAAGACGTTGCGTAAACGAGTGATGCATGGAATGATTGCCGAGGCTGCAGGACCGATAGATGCCTGGTAGAAGCAAGTGATGTGCGGAATGAAAGCCAGTGTTGCAGGACATGATGACGCTGCAAAAGCGAGATGCCGCGCGGGGATGCCGATGCTGCGGAAACGCCATGATGCTGCAGTAGTGGACGCCGCAGCACGATGTTGAGGGACATGTGGACGAAGGAGAGGCTGCGGGGGCTGATGCTGCAGAATGAAACCGCCGCGGTGCCGTCGCGGAAGAGGAAGTCGTGCAGAGGTGGCTGAGGTACGATGAAGCTGCGGGAGCTGACGCCGCAGAGGGAGACGCAGAGAGAAACCGTCGCGGTGCCGTCACGGAACAAGAGGTCGTGCCGAGGTGAATAAGGCGCGATGAAGCTGCGGAAGCTGATGTCACAGAGAGATACCGTCGCGGTGCCGTCACGGAAGAGAAAGTCGTGCAGATGTGGCTGAGGAACGATGAAGCTGCGGAAGCTGATGCCGCAGATGAAACCGTCGCGGTGCCGTCGCGGAAGAGGAAGTCGTGCCGAGGAGGTTGCGGTACGATGAAGCTGTTGGAGCTGATGCCGCAGAGAGATACCGTCGCGGTGCCGTCGCGGAAGAGGAAGTCGTGCCGAGGAGGATGAGGTACGATAAAGCTGCGGAAGCTAATGCCGCAGAGAGAAACCGTCGCGGTGCCGTCGCGGAAGAGGAAGTCGTGCCAAGAAGGTTGAGGTACGATGAAGCTGCGGGAGCTGACGCCGCAGAGGGAGACGCAGAGAGAAACCGTCGCGGTGCCGTCACGGAACAAGAGGTCGTGCCGAGGTGAATAAGGCGCGATGAAGCTGCGGAAGCTGATGTCACAGAGAGATACCGTCGCGGTGCCGTCGCGGAAGAGAAAGTCGTGCAGATGTGGCTGAGGTACGACGAAGCTACGGATGCTGATGCTGTAGAAAGAATCCGTCGCGGTGCCGTCGATCTGATGTCGCCGAGAGAGAGAGAGAGAGACCGTCGCGGAAGAGGAAGTCGTGCCGAAGAGGTTGAGGTACGACGAAGCTGCGGATGCTGATGCTGTAGAAAGAATCCGTCGCGGTGCCGTCGATCTGATGTCGCCGAGAGAGAAAGAGACCGTCGCGGAAGAGGAAGTCGTGCCGAAGAGGTTGAGGTACGACGAAGCTGCGGATGCTGATGCTGTAGAAAGAATCCGTCGCGGTGCCGTCGATCTGATGTCGCCGAGAGAGAGAGAGACCGTCGCGGAAGAGGAAGTTGTGCCGAAGAGGTTGAGGTACGACGAAGCTGCGGATGCTGATGCTGTAGAAAGAATCCGTCGCGGTGCCGTCGATCTGATGTCGCCGAGAGAGAAAGAGACCGTCGCGGAAGAGGAAGTCGTGCCGAAGAGGTTGAGGTACGACGAAGCTGCGGATGCTGATGCTGTACAAAGAATCCGTTGCGGTGCCGTCGATCTGATGTCACCGAGAGAGAGAGAGACCGTCGCGAAAGAGGAAGACATGCCGAAGAGGTTGAGGTACGACGAAGCTGCGGATGCTGATGCTGTAGAAAGAATCCGTCGCGGTGCCGTCGATCTGATGTCGCCGAGAGAGAAAGAGACCGTCGCGGAAGAGGAAGTCGTGCCGAAGAGGTTGAGGTACGACGAAGCAGCGGATGATGTAGAAAAAATCCGTCGCGGTGCCGTCGATCTGATGTCGCCGAGAGAGAAAGAGACCGTCGCGGAAGAGGAAGTCGTGCCGAAGAGGTTGAGGTACAACGAAGCTGCGGATGCTGATGCTGCAGAAAGAATCCGTCGCGGTGCCGTCGCGAAAGAAGAGGTCGTGAAGCTGCGGAAGCTGATGCCGCGGTGAGAGGGACCGTCGCGGTGCCGTCGCGAAAGGAACCGTCGCGGTGCCGTCGCGAAAGAGGTCGTGCCGGTATACGAAAGCGAAAGGCTGCTGCGGAGCGTGACCGTTGCGCAAACAGAAACGCTGCGGAAGCTGATGACGCTTGGAAAGAACACTTCTGCTGCAGCCCACAACGACGCTACAAAACGGATTGCCGAGCCGCCCCAAAGTAAGGGGATTTAACCCCAGGCCCAAAGAGGGGGGCATTTATGTAAGGTGTGTCGCGGTATGTTTATTAAGGTGTATCGCGGTATGTTTTATGTAAGGTGTGTCGCGGTATGTTTATTAAGGTGTATCGCGGTATGTTTATTTTCGCCCGCCTTTTGGTTTATATAAAATGTAACGCTAGAAATTCGTGTATCGCGGTATGTTCTTTATGTAAGGTGTGTCGCGGTATGCTTATTAAGGTGTATCGCGGTACGTTTATTTTCGCCCGCCTTTTGACATTTAGTTTATATACGATGTAACGCTAGAAATTCGTGTATCGCGGTATGTTCATTTTCGCTCGCCTTTTGACATTTAGGAACACGTCGAGGTCAGCGTAGTCAGAACCGTAAGTCACTGTCGCCCGATCGATTTTAGCCTCAGACCGGGTGACAGGACTTATCCACCTTCGGGCGAGTATATAATCGCAGCGGGGAGTGAGAACGGGGCCAGTGCCTGTACGCCGACCAGGCTGCAACGCTGGACCCGACCACAACCACGCTGCTGGTAAGCTGGCTCGAAGGTAGGTTCCGACTACGCAGGGATGCTGTGCGGGCTCAAGGCACATCCCATAGATAGGTAGGAGCAAGCGGGTGGAGGGTTAGGTTAGCATGCGTGGCGTTAGGGTATTGTTAGGGTAGACACTGCGTTCGCGGTAGGAAATAGCTTCTAAAATGATAACGTTAAATCAGCGCAGTCCGTTATGAACACATTGCGAAATTATGAACAATAAAAGGGGCGTTAAATTGACCAGATGCTTTTGGTAACGGGATGAGTCGGAGGAGAACGGTGATTGAGCGGAGTCTAACTTTATCGGTTCATTAGTAAAGTCATCAATGGCCAGGAGCTTCACTCCTAAACCCATAAGGGCGCGCTACCAACCGCGGTGTGCCTCAAAATGGCGGAGTGATTCTCACTGGTTCCACGATGCATTGTAACTTAACGTAAAATAGTTAGTATTAGACATTGGGATGTACGTGGCCCGAGTGGCAGTCGGGCACAGGCTGGGAGACGTCTCAGCCTAACACGGACATCATGTAGAGTAGTAGTAATACAATCAGAGGGGAGGCTGCGAAAGGCCAAAAGGACCGGCCCGAGCCCCCCCTACAGATTGCGGTTCGGTTATTTTCACAAGCCCTGTTATCAGCATACTGCTGATGTGAATATTACTAAGCAGTAGGTACAGGGAGCACTACGCGCACATCGCTGTTGCAGTCATGCGTGCCAACGGCTGATGTGTTATAATAACCGCCTGTGTAACTGCCGAGTGGTCTCACCGTGTCATAATAACCGCCTAGAAGTTAGAACTGCCGAGTGCCGGTAGGTACTGCGCTGACCTCCATGGCTGGCCACCAGTACAGGATGGCTGGTATCACTCCTGAGATGGGCTGTCAGAGGCTGATGAAGGGGATATATGGGGTAGGAGCTGTCTTTAACGGTGCCGGTTAGTTTGGACCGACAGTGGGGGGCCGATGGTCGTTCGACTGACATGGTGATATAGGCTAGCTGCATTAGTCGATGAGACAATGTGGTATGGCTGCTACACTAAACTTGCAGTGGTTGTCACGTAATGTGTCTGTGCAACATGGAGCAAAATTTTGCTCCATATTGTAGATGATTTGTGCTTACCATCAGCTTGCCGTTGATGGATCATCAAGTTCTTATTGCGTTTCATTGCGATTGAAAGTGGAAAACTACTGAACTTAGTGTCGAAATCCTTGACCTAGAGAAGAGACCGTTCCTGGTTGAACGTAGAACGTCCTGAAGCGCCACGGGCACTGCTGCCTCAGACAGATCACTGGACGGACATTTTGACACTGGCCTTGATTACGCCAGGGCTCCGTCGTTTTGTGATGTTATCTTCATTAACAAATACACTAGACGTAGTGTGGTCGCCCCTGCTCTCTGGCCTTATAAACAAATCAGTTTAAACATGTCACTGAGTAGACGAAAGCATGCAGTACTGCATTGATAAATACAATGCTGACTGTCTGATTAATAAGATTTTACTATTATTTTCTCTGATTTTGCTTCTGTATTGTAATGCTAGAAATGATCATGGTGTATTTAAAGTCTACCCATTACTGGAAAAATAACTGATATGTACCGTGTGCAACTGAGACATCACATGTGAGACCTCAGCTGAGCAATGAATTGAAGATTGACCGACGTTCCTGAATATTTCACCATCAAATTCTGTCATCCCGTGTCTGCCCTTGTGATGTGACTGGGTCGCTCTAGGAGGACCGATGACCTCTGCAATGACCTCGGAGGCTGCCTCAGGTCACCGGCAGACGGCTCTTGTGACAGTTCTTGTCGTTAGGCCGGATGGCGGTACCAGGTCGAAGCGACTGTCCCGGTACTTTTTGTCCGTGCGTTTGGCTCACTTGCGGCGCAGACGCGTGGGCAAAAACAGCATAGCAGGGACGAGCAAGCGACGGGGTGCGCCGGGCAGGGGCTTCAACTGGAGGCGGCGGGAGGGCGGAACTTTGGGTTTGATGAAAACCGATCATTTTAGCTGCTTACAAATGGGGCTTTTTTCGAAAATTCCGCTTCGTATTATGAGGGAATAAATGACAGCTCTTTTGGCGTCGTTCGCTAGAATACGTAGTTATGGTGAGGAGTTATGTATAATGTAACTGGCCGACTCCCAATTTACCTAACTAAACAGACGCTCGTCATCCCCAATCACAGTTGGGGACTTAGTTTCTTGCAAACAGATGTGCGGATGTGGGAACTATCGACCCGCCTGACCCCGCCCCTCTCGTCTCCGTCGGCAGCCGCGCTGAACCTGCGTGTCAACTTCTCCGAGCCCATCTCGCTGTCCAACAAGACCAGCTATCGGTGCATGAGCAAGCAGCCGTTCCAGCTGCTGGTTGATGACGGCAGCTCTGGCGAGGACGGCAGCTCGGGCGAGCTGCTGATGCTGGAGACCCAGCTGGAGGCCTACCGCACCGCCAACACCACCAAGTTCTCCACACGTGAGTGGCGGAGCTGCCGGGACGGCCGGGGGGAGAAGAGGGTATCTGATTGAAATGTGCTGATGGGGCGCTGGGGATTAAACCTCGGGGAAGTGGACGGTTGAAACTTTGCCAACTGGAGGTTTGCGTGAGCTGTGAAGTCGAATGGAGGTTTCTGTGGACGGTGAGATCAAATGACGTTTATGTGAACGCGTTTGTAAGGTTTTATGTGTGTGTAAAGTTTGTGTTTGTGAGGATTGTGTTTGTGTGAGGTGTGTGTTTTTGTGAGGTGTGTTTGTGTGAGTTGTATGTTTGTGTTTGCGTGAGGTTTCAGTGTAAGGTCTTTATTTGGGAGTTTTGTATGAGGTCAAAAGTCAGTTGTTGTTTTTCGGGCATATGCGGTTGAAGTCGTCGCATACATATTCCCCCTGATAAGATATCGTTGCGGAAAACGACATTTTGATCGCTAAAGGTCGTCAATGCAGTATCTTCTTGAAGTATGGGAATCAAATATTTTGAGCCAATGGTAGTGGCAGGCCTTTTGCTTACATCGAAAATTTTAACATGTGATACCATCTGTCCTACTCTTCACTGTGTTAGCCAGACATACTTTAGAGGGATTAGAATGGAATGATTTTACAACTGGTATTCAGCTTTCTAACATCCATTAGTTGATTTGTTATCTTGTAATATAAATTGAATTATCGCAAGAACACGTCTGAATAAGGCTACACAGATGCCGATCTGGGCCGATCCCTCGGAGACCTTATCGATCTTTATCATTGTTTCCAGACGTTTCAGTTCCGTATGGCTTATTTCATAGATTCTCCAGTTTCACGACGGCTTCAAATATCGTACCCGTCTGTTGAAATAAAGCATCAGAAGCACAGAGCCGGCTCATCTGGCTCCCCTGCCACGCGCCGCTCCGGGCCGGGAGGGGTGGTTAGCTGCAGTTGCCGGCGTGGGTCCCCGCGCCCCACACGGCCTGGCACTCTGCCAGCACCGATGTAACTGGCACCATCAGGCCAATGGCGGCATGTGCATTGTGCGGTGCCGGTGAGCGGAGTTTACTGGCCTGATGTTAGGCTTGATCACATATATGACGGAATTGAGATGTGTTTTTGGTTTTGTTAGATTCACTTTTCAAACATAGTTTGATAAATTATACATCACAGAATCCACAGTTGGCTTTCTAAACCCTATTTCATAAAGCCGGAATGATGCGGTGGTTTATTTACGCCATGATAAACGAGATATGGTATCACTTGGAACGGAAGTTATTCTCGTTTAATTTTCCAGTCGTGTCTATGCACTGGGACCCAACAGCTGTTGTAGTCGCCCGTACATACGGAGTATATCGACCCGACTGTGGCGCGGCCCGGCCGGTTCTGTCGGCGACGAGCGGCAGCGGGGCCGGCCCGCTCACCGCCCGCCGTTGCGACACGGCTCCCGGTGGCTCAATGGTGTTTCTCCGGCCTGTGAGCCGCGAGAGGCACTCACCGGGCCGGGCTGGCGTCGCTGCGGACGCAGTGGCCCCGAGGCTGATTGAAGTGGTCGTCCGCGGTGACTCAGAATGTTGGAGTGGTGCTGGCGCAGTATTCTGTTGCTGCGTACAAATGCCGACTGCTGCGGACTGGCTACGGCACTGCAATCTTTCAGCATCTCGATTTTGTCATTTTTATACGCCTTCAGTCGAAATTTTAGCAGTATTTCCAAGTGTCTGAACGGTCGCGTGCCTAATCTATTAAAATCACCAGTCATCACTGTTTCCTGAAATGCGAACTGGCTGTGTATATGAGTGTGCCAGCGCTGCCTTGCACCAAACGCGTCATACCAGATTGGCCAGATCGAGCTGGAGTCTGTTCGGACTGCAGCCGCCACGCGCCGCTCGGCGATTCAGAATGTTTATAGTATGGAACTGGTCACTGGTCAACCCAGGGACGCTCACTCCTGGGTCACGTGGGTGGGCAGACGGATGATCGCTCCCTTCCTCCCTGACTCCCTCCCTCCCTCCCTGACTCCCTCCCTCCCTCGGCCACTCCCCACTCCTGGTGAGTCCGTGACAGCCACACAGCTCGATGGACAGCTGTGTTGGCGATGGTAGCTGTAGCTATCGACCATACTCAGACCAGACTGGGCCATGGAGGTCGGTCTTAAACCGGTCCTGTGTGGCGGGGCGGTGTGGTCAGGCTCCCAGCTGATCCCTCTCCCCACTGGGGACCGAGGGGTTGTGGGGGGAGGCTGGCGAGGGAGAGCGACCCCGCTGCACCAGCGCGGCTGCTGAGACTTGTGAAAGGTCGAAACAGTGACTGCAACAGTGGTTTACCGTGTGGTTGGGCTGGGGAATGCGGGGTTGAGAGCCTGGGCGCGCATCGCTGGCATATTGAAGCTTTGATAGAAACGACGACTGTTCACTTGTGCGAAAGAGACATGAATATGCGAAGCCTTATTGTTATCCCTACTGCATTCAAGGACTGAGTGCGGACAAATTTTATTCGGCTTTAGTTCCTCTGTACCACATAACTACCGGCGCCGCTATTCTATCGCAGCATCCCCAGCCGCGAACCACGCCGCTTGTATTGACGGTCCGACCGTGACCTTGACCTTTTCCCGGCGCCGGCGGCCCTGATTGCCCGCCTCGGGGGGTTTTGCAGGGAAGCCCGGCCACCCCGCACCCCACCAAAGCAGTCTGCGAAGGCTAATATGTACTGTCCGTGACGGGATTCTATTGGCCAGGTGTTAGTCAGAACGGCCTCAACGCCACCGCTCCGCCAGCTGCTTAGGCGTGATTGTGCATACGATTGTGGCTTGTTTGAGTGAACCGTACCGTACTGCCACTCCAGTTTTGTGATAGTCAGCAGCAAATGAGAGGTGCTCAGGCTAGAGTTTTGACCCGGCAGGCCGCCCACAGCGCACAGAGGCCCGCATAACGCACGGTGAAAGTCGCCCTGCTCTGCCCTTGCTCCTCCCCCGCAGGTCCTCTGCCAGCAGTAAATAGGTCGCCACAGCGAACGTGTTTTGTTTAGAGCTGTAGCGCCGGACCGCCTTGCTCTTGCTGATCAGTTAAGTCATCGAGCCATTGGTAGATGGTCCAATGACAAACCTGGCGAGTCTCTAGTCTCCTGACACGGATTAATAATGGAAAGTACATCCAAGGACTGCCTCATCTGGGAATCGGCGTTAAGGTTTAGTGACTACCATTGGAGACAGCCACCCAGAAATACTCGTTTTTTAACCATATCCAGCTAGCATATGCAATGTCTGACTTGATCACCAGCACGTCTCATAATAAGTTATGGGTAGCGCTGCTGAAGTAAGATTGGTGGCATTGGCACACCAAGCCCACTAGTGGGTGTTGGTGACCCTGCTCATTATTTTCTCTGTGTCGCCCCGTTATTCACACGTTTAGCACTATTGCCCCGATATGGTGGTAGGGCTAAGGGCGGTGTCCGTGCTGCGACTGACTCAGCAGCGGCTCGACGAAGTTCGATGAAACTGAAATCGATGGGACCTTACACGACTCAGCAGTCCGCCGGTGTTATGTTTAAAGTTCACGAAACTCGCCAGGTCATATTAGATGTCCCGCGTGGCGTGGGGATCTCTTATAACATCATTGTTCCTCTTTTATGGCTCGGTGCATTATGTAACTTTTTCGCTTTCCTCGTGTCTCAACTTTTTAACGAAATTGGGATGTTCTCGTGTATCGCTATTTAGCTTACTTCGGGATGTTTGCCCGATGAAACTGGATGTGTTTCCTCTCCAGACGCGGATACGGAAATGCCGTGTAATATCTTTGACCCTGTCCACAGTCCATCCTTGCCCATCGATCTGTAACCGCTCTTTGCGGAGGTTACGTGCCGTGTCTTTTTGTGTCGTTTTTGGTTGCAGTATCTGTGTTATGTTTGGAGACCACCTTTATCACATCTCGGTCTTGTTGGCCGCTGTCACGTCGGATGATGTTTGCCATTTCGCCATAGTTGCGTGTGGTGTGCTACATTTTGACTGCACCTCCTTCCCGTTCATCTCGTTGTATGCGTGACCCCCTAACACGCCCCTCCCCCACCCCACCCCCCACACACACACCGCTGACACCCCCCCCCCCCATTCGTCCGACAGCGCTGGTGTGCTCTGCCGACCACCGGGCCACCTCTGACGTCGTGCCCATCGCCGTCGGCGTGGCTCTGGCCTCTCTCGTGGTCATTATTCTGATCGCCTACATCGTGGGACGCCGGCGCGCCCGCCAGAGGGGATACCAGAGCGTCTAAAGAGCACCAGAAGACGGACTCGTGGACGACGCGCTGCCTGTCCCGTCGCCTCCAGGTGTGAAGTCTATCTGGAGGGCTAAAACGACCATGTCCTGTTGCGACCATCAGTGCGATCAGATTACTCCATGGTGACTTGTGCTATGTCAAGACATCGGTGGGTTTAGGCCTTCTTCAACACACCTCTTCGATCGGTTTGGTCTCCATCTGGTGGTGACACTACAGACGCGTCTGGGATCGTCTTGATACGACTGTGGTGGCGCATGTGTCAGTGGTGGGAGGGGCGGATGCCGTCGTGTGGTTCATGCGGTGTGCTGTCGGTTGGAACATTTGAAACGTTGTGAGTAGGAGGGGCGCCGCGTCGCCGCTCTGGGGTGGGTGGGTATCTGAAAGGAGCGGGAGGGATGTCATGAGCAGCATGGGATGTGAGGAGCAGTTGAGAGGGCGGCAGTGCGCGATTGTGTTGTGGCGAATGGTTGTCAATGCGTGTGTGAATCGAGGTTTTCTGGCTGAGATCTAGATGGTCGCTGATAAGCATGTCATCCATGTGCAGGTCTTCTGCCATCTCGCGTGTCGGATGTAAGTGTGGCTATTTTTGAACGGGGTCCTCTAACTTCTCCCCGTCTTAAAGTATTCGATTAGTTTCCGGCTTGAGAGTGTCTTATGAATATCATTATTCTGTCGGCGACGGCGGAGTGGCAGTGCTGAACGTTCTGCGCATGCGCCGACAGCAGAGAGTGCTTTCAGCGGTTAGCGCGCCTGTCTGTCACGTTGCGTCAGCGTTTGTGTATCCAGGGGTCGGGAGGGACGCGTGCTTAGCAACCGGTCAATACAGACTTCTCGGGACGGTAGAGGATGGTAGAAGTGGTAAATACACGGTAGATGGTGAGCCGTCAGCAGAAGGCCACAGATTGGTGGTCATACAGTGTAGGTATCCCCGATTGGTGGGGTAGTTTCGAGAAGTTCCGTTTTGTTGTCTGTAGAGCGTGCCCATGTCGGTGTTAGGTATTATTCGGAGATTTTCCAGGCGTCCCTTGGCAATTTTCTCATTAAGAACGCCATTGTAATGTATACCTTGTGCTAGGATTTGGCGCACTAGCCCATCCCATGGTATATATATGTAGACGATGACATTTATGATAACAGTGAGTAACAACAGCACATGTAGAAACATACTAAGACGTTTTCTGATTCACATTTGGAAGGCGTCTTCTGGTTGAAATTCTAAATTCTGAACAAGCTGGAACTATCCAAACACATAAACTGTTGTTACTCATTGTCCCATTTATCTGCGCGGCATATATTTCAGCGTATCGTAGACGAGGAATACCTTGATATAGGCGTTTGCCTTTTGAATTTCTCACGTTCGTTCTGTTCCCTTGGATATTCTTCTGTTGCACGGCGATACTGATACATGTACTGGGGCTGAGGGCTCGTCCGCATACCTGTAACCTAGATAAGTGCAAGTCGTGCAAGGATTATAAATAAACAGATACCGTCAAGATTGTTGGTTGATCAGTGGCCTGCTATCGCAACATGGTTCAATAATAACCAACATGTCTATCGTCTACATAGCGGTTACGAATGTGTACCCAGTCTCTCATAGGCAGACATACGAGGCAGCAGCCTCATATTCATACGCCCGGCGAGCGGCGAACATGCTGTTATAAATATCCTGGTCTGTTCACCTTTGTGGAGATATTCTAGGATAGTTCTTTATTTAGCTCATTTCGCGGAATCAGCGCTTCGCCCACGCTCACCGAATCTGTCGGGTATTATTGGTCGTCCCACCATTTGTTCGTTGACCCGTCCTTTTCTATAGTGCGGCGCTGACGTCACGGGAGCAGAGAATAGCTACCGCTGGGCTCCGTAATATTTCCCACGAGTGTCCGGTCGGACGGTGACATTTCTGGGCTTCCCTATGGTGGAAGCTGGTAATAGCGATGGGAGACGATCAGGTTTACTGATTGTACTCTTAAATCGTAATAATGATTTATAGGGTGAATTGGCTCGGGACACTGCTGTTGGGGAATGGCGACGCCAATACGTAGATTTGCTGTACATATACGAAAACTTGTATGCTTATTGTTTATGACATTAGGCGTGCCAATTGCTTTACGCCTTATCCACAAACTCATAATCATCCAACTGTAAACAAGCTTAGATACGTATGAAGCCTGGCCAGTTTGTGTCAGACGAGTGTGAGCGAACGGGATACGCTGGCCTCCCTGTTCCAGACCTGTTCCAGGCCATATGCTATGCCGTCCGATCAGTGGAATATTACCGGCGGCCAGGAGGGCCGGAGACGGGGGCATGTTGACGTGTTGACGCAATACCAGTTATTGGCAATTGAAGGCGGTTATTGGGTGGGGGCTGGGTTCGACGATATCGGGTTGGATCTAGAGTGTCATTGAATTGCACTGGAGTTGCGAAGAACGAGTGTTTTGCCGCAAATGCCAAATAGTTTGAACGAGATTGCCGGGCATGTCTCAGATTCATACACTAACTATGCTATTGGAGCAAAGTGAAACCGAACGCACCGGGCTTCCCGTCGCAGAAGATACGAAAATATATAACTGTACCATTGCATATATTTAAATATTAGACGAGCATAACATGTAACATATTTGGTTACCATCCACCTTACGGATAGTGGCATGCGAGCTAAACACCACAAATGAACGGGAAGTCGTCCCGGCCAACGCACGATCGTTCCAAAAACTTGTGCCAATCACAGACAGAATACATGGCGTCCGGCTGGACGCACGCGGTCGGGCGCGTCTCCCCTGCCGGGGTCACGCTGGGGTCAACGGTCAGAACGAACAGGTGGGCAGGTGCCCTCAGTCCCGCGCGACCTCCCGCGCCGGCCAGGGTTTCCGTTTTCTCGATATGTGCTCAGTATCGTCAGACACAAGTTTCTCCGATCGGCCACCAGGCGGCTGTACTGTCGAGTCCCTGCTGCCGGGGAGCGGCCGCATCTTGGGGTTCTGGTCAACGGATGCGAGCTGCGAGACAGCGTGCGCGCCACTCTACGCAAAACGGCCGGGGAGCGTCAGTGGCCATGGCAGCACCGGCATCACGAAAACTCGGGGCGCCCGATCCCGAACAGGGCGCCTCCCGGGAGTTTCCCAAGGAGCTCTCCCAGCGCCAAACGGTTTGACCGCAAGTCAACTCCGCACAGCGCGGCTATAGTACACCAGATAGTAGATACACCGTGGGCACACGAGATCACACACGCACGTGCACGTACGAGATACAAACGCAATAAATACAGCCGATTACAAAATAACGCGCCCGACAGAAGCTGGCTACGAACGCTTCACTAGCACTACCGGTAAACAATCTCAGAGGGGTGAAACGGCCTTGGGTGAATCAAAGCATGCTGTCCCAGTCTCGGTCGCAGCTGCCGACCGCCTGTGTCACTCGTTTAACGCCAAACTGTGACGTTCCTCGCACAAATGGTAGGGATGACTAAATCACAAACTACTATCATGGAACTCACCGCCGCTGTTGTCCTACGCTACCTAGACGATCACAAACAGACAACAGCATCGACAGACAGCGGACAAAGCCTTCACAAGCTGACACTGCTAGTCTAAGATCACACTGTGAGTTTCTGGGCTAGAAATGGTAGCAGAGGATTGAACCAGACTAATAAACGCATGAAACGGTGCACAGACTCGGAGTGGGCAGCGATGGTACAAAGAGTAGCATAAATATGCTAGGCAAGCACCGCAGTGCTAGCTTTCCCTCCATTAGTCTATAAAATTACAATGCCCGATAGATTATCCCCATCGTATGATAGCCATCCGTAAAGCAGAATACCACCGGAAAGCCTACAAGTACACCGTGAAGAAGAAAAAACTGCCCATCAGATCACCTGTCCTGAAGACAAAACACCTTTACCGTCGACCTGCCTCACCACTATCAACCTTTTCTTCCTCCCTTCTTATACAAAGAGCGTCACATCACCACTCAACGCACCGCCCAGTCCAAAGCCTGTGCGACTCCGCTCTCTCAGGATCTATCAGATCAGGATCAGATCCCGCCAGTTAATCCCAGCTCCCTTTGAGGAAACCCCCAGCGGTCCTACTCTTACTCAGCCGTAGCATGTCTTTCAGCAAGGTGCTTTTATCATCTTCCCGTGGCACCGCTTCTCACCGTAGCAACTCACTTCTAGTAGGGTCACCCTCCCCTCTCTCGACGCCCTCCTCCCTCCCCTACGGGCCTCTCCTCTCCCTCCCCTGGCGGCTCTCCTAGCTGGAGGCCGCCGCCAGTTCCCACACCTTCACCAGCCGGTCCTGACCGACCGTCAGGTAGCGCAGCCGAGCACCATCAATGGCCGCCGTCACCAGGCGGTGTTTGGCCTCGTGGATGGAGGCCAGAGGTGTGTGGCCGGCCGCCGACTCTGTGGTGAAGCACGGCTCGCACAGGCGCACCGGCAGCTCGAAGCCGAGCGGCGGGATCGTGCAGCGCCGAGAGCTGCACGCGTCACACACGGCACGACCGCAGTTCCTGACGGGGACAGACAGATGGTGGGTGGGTCAGGCAGGTATGAGATTCGTCAGTCGGTATGGGTATATGGAAGGTAAGCAGGAGAAGAGAAACTGTAGAGGCAGCAACTAATACCAATTAGTGTGTGTGGTGGTGCCGGGGGGGGGGGGGGGGGCGAGAGGTTCTATAAATAACAAGAGATATGACCGTTCTAACAATCATAATGCAGAGGCTTTTACAAGACGTGCAGCAATAGGAGAATAATACCAATGAGCGTGAGCCAGTTGAGGTCCAGCAAACCTGTAATATTTGCTGAGGCCCAGCAGGCTGCTGGTCTGTAGTACCTACTGCCACCTTACTGACCTGCAGTGGTGCTGCCTATTGAGGCCCAGCTGCTTGTTGTCGTACATGGCCCGCAGGTTCCAGAAAAACGGCTTACTGCACAGCTGGCAGACGTCCGACTCGTTCCAGCTCGGGGTCTGGCAAACAGAGACCGTATTTAGCACATACACATGTCGCCCCAGACTAGCCACACAATCCGCTGGCACCACATAAGACGACCCACATTGTGTGCCGCCAGCTTCCTGAAGGTAATATCCCACACCAGTCCTGTGGCACTGTCAGCCCTTCTCCTCTAAAACCCGCCACTGCCTCTCCTTTCAAACCGACACCCAGCTCTCCCATATCCTCTGGCACCTACCTTCCTCTCCTCTGGAGCCCCGCCCTGCCCTCTCCTTTGAACCCCACCTCTCCCCTCTTCTCTCTGTAGCTCACATCCGTTCTCCTCCTCTCCGCAGCTACCTACCTCTCGCCGGCTGGCTGCCATATTCCACACCACCACCGAGCCGTCCTCTGAAGCCGAGAGCAGCTGTCGGGAGCCGGCGTGGTAGCACAGAGACAGAATCTTGGCCGTGTGGCCCTGCAGCTCGTAGGCGGTGCCCTGGCGACCGCCAATGTCCCAGACGATGATGTTCTGGTCGTAGCTGCCCGAGAAGAGCCACTGGCGGACTGCGTCCCAAGAGAGAGCGCTGCAGGAAGGGAGAGAGAGTCAGCGAGACGGCGGGAGATGACAGACAGGGAGGGAGGTGACAAGGGAGAGAGGACAAGGGGACAAGAAAATTAGGGGCGCGACAAACCTTTGATAATTTTCAAGTGTGTCACTAGTCTTCCCCCCCCCCTTACCCCTTCCAACACCGTGGTTGATAGTAATTGGTCACGCGTTTTAACAGCATGACATCATAAAAGAGTCCCATTTCCGAGGGTGTATATCAAATATGTCACGCAGTACCACGTCCCAAGAGCGTCACAGCTGTCTTTTCACAGTAAATATAAAACCACCTACCAACCTACAACCTTAAACCCACAACCTACAAAATCTGTTGTGGCATGTACGGTGGCAAATATGGCTTGTGGCATGTATGAACACTCTCATCCCTCCCCCCCCCCCATTCCCGACACCTTAGCCTCCCTGCCTTCCTTCCTCTACCACCGTACCCATCCGCTGGTCACTAACCCGATACTGCCCGTGTGTCCGTTCAGCTTGGTGATCAGCGTCGGGCCCGACTCGTCCAGCTTCAGCATAGTGATGAGGCCCGAGTAGTCGCCGACAAACACGTGCTTGGACGTCATGTCGTACTGCATGGCCGTGCACCAGGCGTCTGTCTGGTGTCCCCCCAGCCGGCGGCCCGTCTCGGTGCAGTGGTACTGGAACGTCTTGTCTCGGCTGACGCTCAGCGTCCACTCGCTGGTCGGGCAGAGCAGACAGGCGGTGACACGCGCCTGGTGCGCCAGGTAGTCCCGCACCGGGGACAGACGGTTGTAGTCGGTGGCCAGGTGAAACTCCTACGGGCGCACCGGGTGCAGAGGGTCAGAGTAGGTCAGTGGGGAGCTCTGAATGGTTTTCATGGGGACGTGTGAAATGCATGCGAGATGTAGAAATAGCCGGTAGGTACAGTGAGGCTTACATCCATTCAACTACGTTGACAGGCGGCAAACGACATGGAAGTTAAAGCTGGGACAGTGTAGAGCTATGAAAAATTGGCAAAACGTATCATACCACAAGCTGTTCCTTACTAAACACATTTGGCAGACACGGTAACGATAATGACAGCACAGCAGGTCTAAACCAAACAATGCAAGTTTCCACCATCGTGAAAACGACCACACGTTCCCCTCCAAATGGTTGCAGCCACCAAAGAAATCCACCGCTCTGAGCCTGCCTTCACCCTACAGCACACGAGTCGTCCGACAGCCGACCCACTCACACAAACGGTGCCATTGTCCAGGCCGACGAACAGCCGGTGGGAGGAGGCGTGGTAGAAAAGGCACGTGGTCGGTGACGGCATATAGTGGCACACGCTCGGCCAGAACTGTCCCGTGTCGCGACGCAGCCACACCCGTACAGACCTGTGGGAACAGCAGCAGGACAGGACAGGCCGCGGCATGTCACTCGTCGAAAATGGAAAACGAAACATTGGAAACACCAGAAATGTGAGAACACTGGATACGTGACAGATCAAACTTAGAACCACAATATGGTGAGAACAAGACGCGAAAAGAAATGAACTGCAAGCACACCTGGCATATGTACTTGTACATATTTGGGCTTAAGGGCAACCACATGGCTGAAGTTGTCAGCATCCATTCTGATATCTGCATTTGCAGGTTAGATATGAAGCTGTACAGTGGTTTGTTTTTATGCTTGCATGCATGATAAATGCTAGATGACTATTACTGAGAGTTCCGACTATGCATCATGCAAAATCAACAACGGACATTTAGTCCGAATTGAACAAATGAGATAGCATCCACACCCAGAACCATATCAAACAATATCACATACCCTTAACATATACACTGCCCAGCACAGCCCCCAACACTTCCCCACTTCCCCAGCATCCGCCGGGTGACCTACTTGTCGTCTGACGCTGTGATGATGCCGTCCTCGCCGTCAATGAAGACGGCGTCGTGGACGTCGTCGCCGAAGCCCTCGACCTTAGCCAGCAGCGTCAGCTTGCGATCACCGGTGGTGCGCTGCCCGCCCACGGCTGGCTTAATCTCGGCTGCCATTGTCAGCGGCGAAAGAGGCCCTTACACTTGGCCGAGAAGAAGACAGTACAATTTGGAGAAGAACTCTGGTTTTACGCAGCTTCGGATTAGATGGACAGGCCGGCGCTAGCTTTGAGTAAAATGAAGGAATTGGCTGTTTCTGTGTTAGTCGTCTCTCTGTAAAGAAACACACATTTATTTATATGTATGAGTGATGTTATACACATACACATGCCTGACACACCACACTGGTGCAAAAATACATTTTGCCTTTCATGTTTATGTGTTAACAAAATGAAAGTAAATATATGCACATCATAGTTGTGTATGTTGTTTAAAATCTGCTGCTCCCTGTTTGCTGTTGACTTAACCCGCGCGGGGCGGGGGGGGGGGTAAATTTTACCCCCCCCCTCGCGAATTTTTGCAATATCTCAAAAACGGCGGCGCGCAGCGCCGCCAAACTTTCAGTACCTTTTCTTACATCAATTTGACACGTTCCCTGAAAATTTGAGCGAAATCCGTCGGAAAATTTTTGAGAAATTGACGTTTTAGTGACGTCATGTTCGCCATTTTCGCCTCAAAAACGGCAAAATTTCAAACGCCGCTAACATCTTCATTTTTAAAGGAATCAAGACGTAACAAAAAAGGTTATACGTAATTCTACTTTGTCTATCAAATGGCTATCTCCGTTTTTTGAAAATTTTGGATTTTAGCCCATTTTTTTTTAACTGACTTTTTTGGGGAAATAATCATAAATCCAAAATTTTGAGTGTATCGAAAAAAACGGAATATATGTCAGAGAAGTGGTCTATGTGCACCTACATACCAATTTTTAGAAGAATCGGTTCAAAAATGTGGGAGTTATTCAAGATTTTATGACGTCACGACACACAAAAATTTTGAAAAAAAATGATTTTTTTTGGAAGTTCTAGACCTCGTACGGAAACAAAAATAGCACCATTCGATTCGCCGTGAAAAACTGCATCAGATAAACACCTTTGTATGCCTTAACAACCAACTTCAAAATTTGACCTCACTTGACCTGACCTTGACCTGACCTCGACCTGAAATTCATCCAGAGGTGGTCCATATCACTTATTGAGTGTGCCTATTGAATTCTATGAGTAAAATGACCCATAAAACATGTGTCGCACATGCCCTTTTCTATATTTTGTTTTTTGGTGACCTGACCTGACCTTGACCTTGACCTCTGAATGATATTGTATGCAACGAATATTGTCTTGGTAGCCTAAGAACACGTTTTGGGCAATCAGTCTCAGTCGATGACTCCATTCTTCGGCAACTACGGTGCAAGGCCGATACTGTAGAAACTGGCAATTTGTACCCTTGACCTGACCTTGACCTTGACCTCAAAATTTAAATTAAGTACATGTTTTTAGTTGTTCGTGATGAGATCTTTCGATTGGCGTTTGATTTTTCCAAATCGGACCATTAGTTCGGGAGATAACAGGGGGGGGGGTAAAATTTACCCCCCCCCCCCAGCCCCGCGCGTTCGGCTGGAGACCCCAGCCCCGCGCGGGTTAATATTACTATACTACATGCTCAACTGAACCATGGATTAGGTATTCCTGGATGTGACAACCCCGCCGATTTTCCGACCAAGCACGACAGCGAGGGCGTAGGCGCCATTTAGCATTGCGTGCTATGGGCGGATCGTGTCTAATGGTTCCGTATGTGATAGTGACTAAATGGAGCCATAATAATTATTAGAAAGGACTAAAAGTATGTTTGAAGTGTCAGAAATCATGTCATACGAGCAGCCAAAGCTCGCTAATTTCGCTCTCCATTACCGCGTTTTCAGCACGCACGCTGGTGCGGCGGCCGCCAAGTGCACTCGCCACCGATGTTTCGCTCCGCCACCAGGGCGGCCGCTTGGTCGCCGGCGCTAGTGTAGGGGAATAGGGAGTGTCCTATCCAGGAATACTTCATCCATGGCTTGCCCCTGGGTGGGGGTCTGACACTGTACTCTAAGGGCCCCATTGCAGCCTATAGGCGATAGGTATCGCCGAAGCGCTATCAATGGGCCCATAAGTGTTGTGCTGCTCCCTGTCGTGCCCCCCCCCCCCCGCTTCACTGGCCATGGCTGGATTTCTGCACCCATGCACTACGCCTGTGGGCCCTTTCAAGCTAGCACACCTGGGTCAGCGCAGGGGCCCCTCAGCCAAGTTACCCCCCAAAAAAAGCGAAGTCTGCGACCACCTCTGGTAGGTTGTGGGCTAGGGGGTAAAAGGTTAGGTCAGTTTAACATGTTTTTTACCTTCACTCAGACTCCTCACTTTAACCAAACTTTTACCATTATATTAGTTTTGTCTCATCAAAAGTGCAGATTTCCTATTTCTCTCGCAAAAGTCCTTGGTCTAGTTTGGTGCAGGCAGGCTAGTGTGAGTGGTGTGCATTTGTCACCCTAGCTTTTGCAGTGTCTCAAAAATTGCCAGTTTGGTTGGGAAATGCCATCCAAATGAAACTAATTTTCCACTCTTACCTCCAATTTTCCTTAACATTTTTTCATCACCAATTTCACCCCCCAAAAAAACAGTTGTGTGTACTTTCTGGCTGACTTTTAACCCGCGCACCGACGGGGGTCTGCGCCAACTTCGCACCGACGGGGGGGGGCGGATGACCGCCCCCCCCCCTGAGATCTCGAGAACGAAGCAAGATAGCGACAAGCGGTAAACGGCATCGGATACGCACGGTCAAGATCTACAATTTTTACTAAGGTCATTTTCAGTTCAGGTCAAAGATGACGTCACAGGGGTCGAAAGAGTCAAAATGGCGGCGCTAGATATGGAGATAGTTTTTCTCGAATAATTTTCGAATTAAACAAGATAAGAACAAACTAAGGGCATCATCGTGATCCTCTCGTCAATCCGCATCGAATGATATATATATATATGTTGACCTCGAAAGGTCAAGGTCAAAGGTTGACCTCAGGTCACGTGACCTCGAGGTCATCATGTATATCATTCGATGCGTCTTGACGAGCTGAACACAATGAGACCATCCACGCGGCTGTATCTTGTTCCTGTACGGAGTTATTGGCCAAAAACCTTTGGTGACCTTTGATGACGTCACATGACCTCACAGCTGCCCAACAGCAAAACAGACCTCAAGGTAGTGAAGGTTGATCGTATATGAAGTTATGTATGGTATATGGGGCCATTCCGACCCGTTTTAGTGGTAAAAACAGGGAGTTGATTTTTCCCCCATTGACTTATAATGGGGAGGTCGCGAAATTGACCTGACCTTAGGTCACCGATATCAAAATTCCGAGATAAACAACTTGTAGCTACTAATGACCTTATAACATCCTGTGACTTTCAAAGGCCTCCGACATCTACTGTAGCTCTGGTACGGTGACAAAGTTGCAAAAAAGTGACTTGAGGTTGGGTCATTCAAAGTGACCTGGTGACCTGACCTTAAAAGGTAGGAGGTTCAAACTTGCACACCATGTGTAAAATTGATGAGGGAATAGTCCTACGTAGCGCCGCGGTTTTTCCGCTATTCGCGAAAAACCTCAGGGGGGGGGGCGGATATCCGCCCCCCCCCCCCCCCCACGTCGGTGCGCGTGTTAACAACCTCCATATTTCATTCAATTACCTATCTTATAAACCAATGTCCCCCATCCTAGAGCATTCATATTTAAATTGATAATCCATGTTTTCAATTCTTTGGCATGCCATTTTGACTTACAATTTTGACTCTCAGCCCTCTGTGCAGTGAGGAATATCCCCTTCTGACACCCATGACCAAAGCCAAAATATGATTTTGGGACACTGAGCTTTTGTGTCTTGTAGATCCTGCTGCCGCCCTTTGCAGCATTGCCCATAAGTCAATTATTTACTGAAATTAACCCGGCAGGCGGTGGGCCTACCAGCCACCTTCCGCGCGGTGGGGGGGGGGGCACTTTTTTGCCCCCCCCCCCGTATCTCCGAAACTACTGGACGGATCCGGAAAATTCAAACGGCGTTCGATAGCCCTGTCAAATTTGTCGAAGGAAACCAAATTTCATTGACCTCGGGGTCACCGATGACGTCACAGGTCAGGTCAAAGATAAAATGTTTCACCGTTCACGGGGCTTCTAGGGAAAGCGCTATAACACCGAGTAAAACGCATTTTGTCGAAAATCAGCGATAAGGCGTCAGTTGTCTAGTACATATGTTGCTATTAGAGGTCACTGGTCATACCAGGTCAGGTCACAGGTCAGGTCACCAAAGGTCACCAAGGGTCCCCACATGAGCCCAACTTTACTAAGGTTATGCGATGCATGTTTTATGGCCAGTTTTTCATTTCCAACTCAATGGTGTTGGTTATAAGACCATCAGGTACGGTTTAGGTCACTTTCTGGTGGAGGTCAGGTCAAGGTCAGGTCAAAAAAGGTCAAATTTTAAAGTTGATATTTTTGCATAAAATGGGTATCGATTCGATGCAGCTCGTCACGGGGAGTCTAATGGTGGTCTTAGTTTTGCGCTACGAGGTCTAGAATTGCTAAAAAATGAGTTTGAAAATTTGACGTCATCAATTTTGAACAGTTTTTTCGCTATAACTTGGCCAAAAAAAGAGGTATCGATCTCAAATTTGGTATGTAGGTAGAAGGCGGTAGGGGCTATCACATATATTCCGGTTTTTTCGAAATTCAAAAAACTTTTTGGATTTTTTGGCTATTATATTCAAAAAATCTATTTTTGGATTTTTGGGGGTAAAAATCCAAAAAATTCGAAAAACCGAAATAGCAGTTTTGTAGCCCTTTTAATTCCACACCTTTTATGTATGAAACATTTTTCTGTATCTCTAAAGCTGTAGGCCTGACAGCTCTTCCCGCGAAACCTTTTTTTGGGTCGAAAATGGCAAAAATGACGTCACTCTGACGTCATTAGCGGCCAACCTATCATAGCCTTTGGAAAAATTTTTGGTCACCATGTTCGCTAGCTGCTCCCGGGAGGGTACTGAAAGTTTGGTGACGATCGGCGCAGCGGTTCTCGAGATATATCGAAAAAACTAAAGGGGGGGCAAAAAAATGTCCCCCCCCCCCACCACCTGGAAGGTTAAAATCATTTCAGGGACAGGTGGGAAATGTGACCAGACTGAGCATTATTGGCAGATAAGTGATAGGCACGAGGATACGACTACTATAACAGAGCATAGGTAGGTATGCTTCTCACCACAAAACTTTAAGACATACCTACTGAGTGAAATGAGATCTATCCATTGTGCAGGAAAGTACAGAAACTCTTGAACACTTTCTTTTCTAGAGTGTGTGGAACTGTGGCAAGAATGTGAGGACTGAGGTCTGAGGATGGACAGAGGAGGTGGGATGTGAGGTACCGTAAACCGGGATGACAATGATACCCGGGGTGACTTTGATCATAGACCAATTTCGGGCCTCAAATGAGCAATTAGCTGCTGTGAACTGTATTTTCTATGCCAATAGTTAAATAAAGCAATGAAGCATTATATCAGACACTTTGGGTCCCAGTTAGAATAATCATGTTCATGTCACAGCTTGTTTTTTTGTTGTCATTGGCATGAAGTATAAATTCGCTAGCATCTCCAGCAAAAATAATGGTAAAGATGAGAAAGACCCAGATAAAGAAAGAAAAAGGAAAGGCTTAGATACTGATGATGGAGGATGAGCATTGAGCTGCTCTATCTCAGTGGTAATTGGAGCGTCAATGGGAAGTGAAAAAGACAATCAACTGGGAGGGGCATATGAGCAGTGTGGCAAGTGGTCCCACAGCCACCAGCAGACAAAGTGTGATGTAGAACAGGTAGCCTGTGGCTTAGGAGTTAGGACATCTGTGACTGTTACTTAATCTTGAAGTCAGAGGTTAAAGTAGCTAATTTTGCTGCTTATAGCTCTGTAATGTCAGTTTAGACCTGGAGCATGCAACTTTATTTTAATACCTCAATGATTCATAGTTTTACTGTAAAATGTGTGAGTTTTTGTCAAGCAAAGCCTTTGATTTTATTCAAAACATGTAAGTTTATCACACAAGCCCCTTCTGAGGGCTCCTATGGCACACATAAGGTGATTTTAATGTAGTGATCATAGTCACCCCGACCTCTGGGTGAGAATGATCAATTTTTTGGTAAAAAAAATAAAATATTTATGATAAATTTCAAGGCATTTATTGTACTCAGTTAGATAGAGAATTGTCCAATTAGTATGATGAAACAGTTTCCAGAGTGAAATCTCAAGTGATATACAAGATATTGTACCAAACTGGTCAAAAGTGATACAAAGTCACCCCGGTTTACGGTACCTATGACTCAACCTGCAAAGCCGACTATCCGCGGACTAAATGCTAACTCAGAAGATACTTTGATGAACAAAGCAAGATTACTTTACTAATATCAATAGTAAAAAAGTAACAATAAAAGTCCCAAAAAAGACAAATATAAAGAAGGAATTTCAGTCGGTACCTACCATCTATTCATTCACCCTTGCCCTTGATAACATTGACATCTATTCTCAATCTTGCGTATTGACATGCCAACAACTACAAACAACACAAACAGCTTCTATAATCTTCGCATAGCACAAAAAATCGTCTTTCCACGTTTATTAGAATTTAGAAAATAACCCTCACACCCAGAAATTTCTCGTGATATCAGCACGATTATCAGTTTGTGTGGGTACAAGGTGTGGGTCAGGGGCAAGTCAGGGGTAAGTTCAACGGTCAACAAATGGTCATTGGTCAACAAGGGGTAAAAGATAAATAATAAAGTACTTGTAGACGGTACAAGAAGCATTAAAAAGTCGTTAAAATACTGGAAATCGAAATCATTTAAAAACTCTATTAGTAAATGTGTTAATTTCAAAGCTTTTTTTGCATAAAGTAAGCGAGAAAAATGGGCAGTAAAAACAAATGCATTCTTTTTAAACGTAACTGTGGAGAGGGCAACGATTCATATCCTGCGCATTGCATACGGTTCCGAATTATATTGGTTATCTTTTGAAATTCACATCACATTCTCAACACATTCGAATGTGAATTTTCAACCATCAGTTGCCATCAGTTAGCACTATTTAGCCCAAGGCCCTAAATACAAGGTTGCACGGGACTAATTTCTACTAAACCTACCAGAATATAGTTTCACGGTTGGATATTTAAATAAGTAATCAATCAAAACTTCTTCATTATTATCTCGTAATCATTTACAATCAATTTTATAAATATACTTTTAATTTTCTTGCCATTTACGGGCAAAATAACTTTCTAGTATTGGGTCAACATAGTGGTGTAGCAGTAGGAACCATATCTGGCAAAACCCCAATGCCTACATACAGCAGAAAAGCAGCCACCAGGTGTCGCCACAGTCGCCCCACAGATGTCGCGCGCGTCGCTTATCGCCGCACTACCGATTTCCATAAGGACGCATATGTACGGATATGTAAGGGAAAGTCGCCCTTAAGGATTACGCTTACATCCTTTGCTTATAAGGTCGATGTTTGGAAATTGGGAGGGGCTCGGCTATTTTCGACCACGGATATGGCTTTATCACATGATGAGGAACATGCTGATAAGCGTTTAATGTGTCATAACAGCACCCAAGTATTTTTAATCATTTTTCAAAAATAGCCGTTCTGCCGTATCTTTCAGTGCAAGGTGCCGTCGGTCATCCCCGACGTTACGTCACTCCGGGGATTGCCAGATTTTCCTACTAGACTTCGACGCCCCCTGATTTAGCCATTATTGTCCTGGGATGAACTATTAATCCATGGCACTGGTTAACACTTTAAAGGGCAGGTACATAAACCATATCAATCAGTATAGTGATAGGTACTGGGTACTGTGCCCTAATCAATCAGTAATAATGACAATGTAATCAATGTCATAAGCAAGACAAAGAGGCATTAAAAGTTATTTCTCACAAAGACAATACAATGACAAAGTACATAAATTCAGACATTTAGACAAATTCAGACTTAACAGCATTACACCGGTCTTTTATTTTCCACTGATGAAGGCGCTTTGTTGATTGATCGAAGCGTATGATTTTATTTACATTTGTCGTATTGTCAATTGTCAATTGTCTGTGATGAAAAACAATGTTGATGTAACTCTTCTATTAAAACTACTTGCAAAACAAGAAGAAAAGTAGGTAGAGTGGGGCAAAGCTGCCACCTTAAAGCTTCGGCATTAGTAGGGCAGACGTCACACGAAGGTTTTCCAACTGAGGAGAGGCGCTGTAGGTTTGTAGGTTGTAGGGTAGGTTTGTAGGTTTGTAGGGTAGGTTTGTAGGTTTGTAGGTTGTAGGTTTTTAGGCTGTAGGTTTGTAGGTTGTAGGTTGTAGGTTAGGTCAGGTTAGGTTAGGTTTGTTTAGGTTTTGTCAGAAAAAAGCACCTTTGGGTATAGCGCCTGCCGCCTCTCCTTGGTTGGAAAACCTTCGTGTGACGTCTGCTCTACTAATACCAAAGCTTCTTATGATGCTGATGCTTGATTTTTGAATTTGGAAAGAAACTTTCAATACCAATGTGATCCCTATTAAATTGCCTTTTATTTCAATTGCATTTCATTTCCATTCATTTGGGTGATTGTGAGCTGGGGACCCCAGTTTGGCTATCTCAGCTCAAATCTGATGCTAAAGGTGGGATGGTCGCCTTAAGTATGATATAAGGGTGTCCGTCAAAATTCGTGGAGATATGCTGTCCCACGATTTCAATAATGCCTCACGTCAATAAATGAGCTTATTTTAGCGTAACACGGGTCCGTACGCGAGATTTGGACATTTGATTGAAGAAAAAAATCATTGAAAAGGCAACAGCAAAGTGGCAAAAAAAAAATTTGGACATCTTTCCAAAACCATGCTTTTGTGTGCCTATGTATTTTAGCTTGTCCCACAACCTGCGAAAAAAATCTACAGAGCTGCTGTGTAGTTATTTTTAGAGATAATTGAGCGCGAGGGAGCGTTGTGAATAGCAAAAACATTGAAATTTCTCTTCATGGTTCTTATTTTTTGGTTATACAATTTAGCAAGACTGCACAACGCAAAAACGTCTGTCCCACGGTTTTTGGCAAACTTTTTTCTGGGTCACGTTTTTTTCTGGGTCACGGTACTTAGCTCCTCATTCAAAGCATTACGGACCGGGTAAGCAGGGTCTGCAGACTTGCATATGGTCCTATCCCGCGAAGGCGCAGAGAGCGGGGGCGGAAACTGAAAACTGTCAGTTGGGCTGGGCGAACCCAGGGGAAATCATCTCCTGCGTGCCATAAGATTTCTTTATTCTGGGTCACACGCCCTTGTGGCTTGTGGCTGGTAAGTGTCGAAAAGAATCATAGTGTCGTGTTGCTGCGTGCTCAGGTACTCCAGATAAGATGTACTTGGAGATTAGTATTCGATAACAAACTTGCCATATTCGGAAAACTGTAAAAACCATTCCCCTGGGTCACGCATTTTTTTCTTCTGGGTCACGAATTTTAGCGTGACCCAGGAAAAAAATCGTGACCCAGAAGAGAAATTCTGCCCACCTACATCATCAAGACATGCAAGTCTTTCCGCCTGCGTGTGGAGAAGGTCATTGCCGATAAGGGGGTTATATCGCGCATGAGGTGAGTGCACGTATCTGGTTTGATAATGCGTGACCCAGAAGAAATTTTTTTTTCTGGGTCACGGACCATTTTACGCGCATGCGCAATGGCATTTTTTTGAATAATTTCAACTGTGAACAGCCTAGGGTGCATGGTTTATGAAAAGGTAATGATTTCTAGGAAATCAGTTGTGGGACAAATATCGACCCAAATCTCCACGAATTTTGACGGGTACCCATAACTCCTTGTCACATTTCAAGGCAGCTAATGTTTCTTAACATGTAAATGATGCTACTTTGTTCACAGGCTGGGTAAAAATAGTATTGACCCATGAAGAAGGCAGTTTCTCTTGCCTCAGGACAGGCTGATAGCAGTAACATTGCAGACGGCAAGGATACCAATAAGGCACGTATTTTATGTTACTTGAATGCCCCTTCACCTTAGATGTCATATAAAGCAATTACCCCCAACATTTTTGCTGCTCTAATGGTGAATAATAAAGTACTGCAATTTTTTGCTTTCCAGCTAAGGGAGCTGCAGATACTGGATGCTGAACTAGGAAGCTTAAAGAGGGGATCTGTAAGTATTTTTGAGTATTTGTTATATTTACATGAATACATTTGATAGATAGACGTCTTTATACCGATACAGAGGTCTATGATTGATATTTAATGAACTTATTTTGCCTGTACAAATACCTAAAAACAGCTTGTAATAAAAGCTTGTAAGCAGTAGTGGCAGAACACCTTCAATCAAGGGGGGGGGGGCACTGCCGACTTTTAGTCCCATTCTTTCCATGCAACGCCCATAGGGCTAATGTTAAACTGCCAAAATTAAAGGGGGGCACGGTGCCCCGGTGCCCTCCCTGTTCCGCCGCCTATACTTGTAAGTTGTATGTGTGTAACGTCAGCCTGCTGATACTTGTTTTGTGTGTTGGCCAGCGGGTATACATTCAGCAGCCCAACAGCCAGGTGTTCTTCTTGGGAAAGCTGCCAGAGGTGCGTTCTTCAGTGAAACAGGAGCTCAAGTCGCATGGTAACGTGACGCTGACGCAATGAACAAGGAGATCGTCAAGATAAACCAGTGGCTGGTGGACACGCTTGGCACAGCGGACGTGCCTGCCTACGAAGTGGACCGGCGCACGCTGTCGCTGCTGCAGCAGTTGCAAGCTACTGTCGACGCCAATGACGAGCACGCACGCCGGCTAACGGAGCACCTGCGCGTCACGCGCGCCGCGTACGCCGCTGAGCAGCGCCGACTGGAGGCGGCGCAGCGCCGTCTGGGCGTGGAGCGTGTCCACCTGGCGTCCGACTCCCAGCGTGTGCTCTCGGCGCTGGCGCACTCGGCGCAGCTGCTCGGCCTGGACCGACCGAGTCCGGCCGGTTTGCTGCTGGAGCACGCCCGCCTCGAACGGGAGCAGCAGGCGCTGGCCGCGCGACTGGAGCGCGAACAGGCCGGGCTGCGCGGGCAGCAGGCCGACGTGAAGCAGCTGCTGGTGCAGGAGGCGGCGCTGGAGCGGCAGCTCACCGAGGCGGCCGCGCAGCAGGGCGCCGACGAGGCTGTCATTCAACAGAAACTGGCCAAATCGCGCTTCCTTTCCGGAAAGATGCAGGAGTACAAGAGTCTCGTGAGAAAACAAGAGGGCATTCTCGCCCAGCGAGGATTCTCTGAGGAGCTCACGCACGACATGATTTTGCGGCGTTTCGAGTTTCTGACGCAGAGGCGCGGCTCCCTGGAGCAGCTGCAGCTGAAACTGAAGCAGTTCGGAGAACTGCCACCCGATGCCGACCTGGCGCGGGTGAAAATCGCCGAAATGGAAGCAGAGCTGGAGAAGCTGGAGGCCCAGTTCAATGACAAGATTCACGGTATACATACAGCCGGATCGAGCGGATAAGCACGACGGTCCTTATAGCGTTTTCCGGCTTTGTTTTTAGGCAGTTATTCAAGGCCGAAAGTTCATCGTTGGTCGCTCACTCCGCCAATGTAACACTTCAATAATGTGCGCTCGCTGTTTGTAACAAAATAAATGTTTAGATGCATATGAATTACTTGCTTTTGTTATTTTTTCTTTTTTACAAAATTTTGGTAAGAGTTTTGGAATCTGTGTGCAACATACTACGTAGCTACACCCTCGGATGATTGCTCTATGTACCTATGTCTAAGCCTTTGCGAAATTTGTTAAAATAATCATCCCATCTTAAAATTGGATTTGAGTTGAGATAGCCAAATTGGGGTCCCTGGCCCCTAGCCCACAAGCACCGGTTTCGACTTTCAGCACTCTCAACATCGAGAAATGCCTGAAATAGAAGATATTGAACTTCAAAGTTGCAGCACTTGGATTCAGAGGGGCTAATAAGTAATACATTTGAATCCCCCTCTGACTTTGTGACGTCAGCGCAGATCTAGCGATTTTAAATCCGAAGCTTAACCCGGCCGCGCCCGGCGTATTTGGAAATTCCGACCTCGACGAGCATCTGTGGTAGAAAACCACCACTTTCGTAGGGGAAACTACTGCTGTCTGCTACCATTTGCACTGCATGTGTCGCTATAGTCGCGACATCTATGCAAATAAACCCCTTATAAACTGCTTACTGCGACATCTGTGTGCGCCAATTCTAGTTAGCGATTAGCTAGAGCACCAGGGTGGATCCATCCGGACTTTCGGTTTGGGGGTGGGGGGACTCATGTCATGGGTCCAGTGGCGTATCCAAGGGGGGATCCTGGGGGTCCTAGGATCCTCCCTGGAGCAAAAAAAAAATTTTTTTTTACTCGAAAAAAAATTGAAAACTTTGAGGGCCCTTTTCACCACTTACATTTTTTTTTACATAATGAAAAGTATCAATTACATTTTAAGGGACCCTTTTAGGACTATCAGAGGACCCCTTTAGGCCAACGAGGGACCTTGTAGAGTAAATTAAGGGCCCTTTACAACGAACAGGACCTTCTCAGGCACACAGAGGGCCCTCTCAGACACACAGAGGGCCCTCTCAGGCACTCAGAGGGCCCTCTCAGGTACTCAGAGGGCCCTCTCAGGCACTCAGAGGGCCCTCTCAGGCTCTCAGAGGGCCCTCCCAAGCACTCAGAGGGCCCTCTCAGGCCCGAGGGCCCTCTCAGACATCTCGAAGAGGTCGAAAAGAGCCCTCTGAGCTCAAAGAGGGCCCTCTGAGATAAAAAAGGGCCCTCGGAGGCAACAGAGGGCCCTACAATGCAACAATAGAGCCCCCTGTGGTCACCACAGGTCCCTCTGAGGCGAATAGGGGGTCCTTTTAGGCAAACAGAGGGCCCTTTGAGGCAAACAGAGGGCCCTCTGAAGGGGCGAATAAAGGGACCCTCTGAGACGAACGGGGGCCAGAGCCCAGAGGGCCCTCTCAGGCACTCAGAGGGCCCTCTCCGGTACACAGAGGGCCCTATCAGGCACACAGAGGGCCCTCTCAGGCTCACAGAGGGCCCTCTCAGGCACACATAGGGCCCCTCAGGCACACAGAGGGCCCTCTCAGGTACACATATGGTCCTCTGAGACACACAGAGGGCCCTCTCAGGTACACAGAGGGCCCTCTCAGGCACACATAGGGCCCCCTCAGGCACACAGAGGGCCCTCTCAGGCAAACAGAGGGCCCTCTCAGGCAAACAGAGGGCCCTCTCAGGCAAACAGAGGGCCCTCTCAGGTACACAGAGGGCCCTTTCAGGCACACAGAGGGCCCTCTAAAACACACGGAGGGCCCTCTCAGGTACACAGAGGGCCCTTTCAGGCACATAGAGGGCCCTCTCAAACACACAGAGGGCCCTCTCAGGCACACAGGAGGCCCTCTCAGGCACACAAAGGCCCTCTGAGACACACAAAGGGCCCTCTCAGACACACAGAGGGCCCTCTCAGTCTCTCAGGTACACATATGGTCCTCTGAGACACACAGAGGGCCCTCTCAGCCACACAGAGGACCCTCTAAGGTACACATAGGGCCCCCTCAGGCACACAGAGGGCCCTCTCAAACACACAGAGGGCCCTCTCAGGTACTCCGGGGCCCTCCCAGGCACACAAAGGGTCCGCTAAGACCAGCAGAGGGCCTGTTAAGACGAACAGAAGGGCCTCTGAGGTACGAGGGTCAATTTCAGGCCACAAGGTATCCTATGAGGCCACCAGACGGCCCTCTTAGATCAAATATGGTCCCTGGAGGTCACCAGAGGGCCCTCTGAGGTGAACAAAGGGCCCTCACAGCCACCTCAAAGAGGGCCCTCTGAGATCGAAGAGATCAAAGAGATCAAAGAGGGCCCTCTAAGGCGAATGGAGGGCCTTCAAAGGCCGCAAAGTGCCCTCTCAGGCCACTGGAGGGCCTTCTGAGGTGATATGATGCTATGTCAGACCACCATGAGCCCTATGAGGTCATCAGGCCCTCTGAGATCAAAGAGGGTCCTTGGAAGTCATCGGAGGACCCCTTGAGGCCCCTTGAGGCGAACAAAGGCCAGAGGGCCCCTTAGACACCACAAAGAAGTAAAAAAGATCACTCTGAGTTCAAAGACAGCTCTCTGAGATGTAATAGGGCCATTTGAGGCCTCTGAGGGCCCTCTGATGCCACAGAGAGGCGCCCGCTGATACCAAAATAGGGTCCTCTGAAGTCTGAAGCCACCAGAGGGCCCTCTAAGACGAATAGCGGGTCCTCGCATCCACTTCAAAGAGGGCCCTCTGAAAATCAACTGGCCCTCGGAGTCAGTGTCCCAAAATTGTATTTTGGCTTGGGTGTCAGAGGGGGAAATAGGTCACCCAAAAGGGGGATAAGAGTGGACAACTGTCAGTCACAGGGCAGCCGGAGCCCTCTGAGAAGGTCACTTGAGCCTTACACCAGAGGGCCCTCTGAGGTGATATGAAGGCTATGTCAGGCCACTATGGGCTCTATGAGGTCAGCAGGCTCTCTGAGGAAAAGACTGGCCCTCTGAGGGGAACAGAGGGCCCTTTAGGACAATCAGAGGACTTTTTAGGCCAACTAGGGGCCTTAAGAGGTCAACAAAGGGCCCTTTGGGACACAAACAGGGCCTCTCAGGCCACCAGGGGCCTCATGTATTAGACAAACATACGGCCATCTGAAGTAAAAGAGGACCTTTTGAGGTAAACAAGGGACCCTGGAGAGAAAACAAAGGGCCCTTTCAGGTACCCAGAAGGGCCATGGAGGCCACTAGAGTGCCCTTTGAGGCCAGTGATGGTCTGCAGAGGCTATCAGAGGGTCCCTCTGAGGGTAACAGAGGGTCCTTAAGACGACCAGAGGCCCCCTTGAAAATGCAGGTGTCACAAGGCCCGGTTTGCATCAAAGGTCAGGTAGCTATGCCCAGTTTTGGCTGTCTGTTGCCGACGTGTTCCGAACTATCGCAAAAAAAAACGATGTGGTGGCACCCACCCTCCCACTCGGCCGGCCAGGGTCCTTCTAACCAGGGATGCGGAGCCGTGGAAATTTCAGACGTCTCCGGCTCCAGCTCTGGAGAAAAAATCGGATTCGGCTCCGGCTCCGGCTCCGAGTAAAATGGTCCGGCTCCGGCGGCTCCGGCTCCAATACTCAGTACATCCTCTATACAATTAAATACGGGTGGAAGAGAAAAGATGAAGGATTGGTTCACGTTGCTTCTGTATTTGCATAACAAGGCTATTTTGAATACCACATGTTTTACTGCCTTGTACTGTCAAACCGAACTATGTAGGTCAATAATTTTTTCCTCTTCAAAAAAGCAGCCGGAGTCGCCGCCTTTTTGGACGGCTCCGGCTCCGGCTCCGGCTCCGGGCAAAATATGCCGGCTCCGGCGGCTCCGGCTCCAGCTCCGGCTCCACACCCCTGCTTCTAACTCGGCTTCTGAGCCACGTACCAGCACGCCAAAGGCAGCGTTCGAAAGGACGCAAACAATAATGACGAAATTACTCTGGTCACTTTTTAGATCAGGTCAAAGGTCAGTTCACATAGGTCATCCAAGGCTAAATTTCGCCAATTTTCTGGTCCAATTTCGACAATTTTCAACAAACCACCGCATCACTCGGAAATGAATGCCGTGCCGGGGAAAAGCGTAGTTAATAGCTCTTTTAACCCGCGCCGGGCCGGTGCTCTGAGATTCCGCGCCGGGCCGGAACGGGGGGTGTCTGAACACCCCCCCTTCTAACTCGGCTCCTGGGCCACGTAGCGACACGCGAAAAGCGGCAATCGAAAGAACGTCCAAAATAAGGACGAAAACACTAAGGTCATTTTTTGGGTCAGGTCACCAGGGGTCACCAAAGGTAAAATGTTGACTATTTCAACATTTTGGAAACTGCCAACGACTATCTCGGGAACCGATAGAGCTACAGCGCCAGAGAAAAGGGCATTCAATAGCACTTTTACAGACCTTTCTGAGTAATGTTCTCAGATTTGACCTCAGGTCAACGGTTTAGCCTCCAGAGGGCAAACACTCCAAAAATAGCCGTTTTTACGAAAAACGTTTTTTTCGGCAATAACTTTTGACTCAAAAGAGTCATGACATTAATTTTGCCAGCATCGTGTTCCTCTCGTCGAGACGCGTCGAATGAACTATAATTGGACCTTGAAAGGTCAACTTGAAAATTTGACCTCAGGTCAAGGTCATGACCTGACCGGAAAAGGTCATGTTGCATATCAGTCGATCCGCAACGTCGAGTCGAACACATCTAAGGCGTTTTCAGCGCTCTAGCACGCCTCTATCAGAAGTTATTGGCGAAAAACTGTTAGATTCTGTTCGTGACCTGAGGTGACCTCGGGGACATAACGAGGGGTCACAGTTGCCATTTTCCGATTCAGTGTGCCAATTTTACTTACATCTCGATGTTAGAGAGTGTCTAGAATAGCGTTCGTGCAAAACAGACGCTTTTCAATTTTCTCCCATTGACTGATAGGTAATGGAGAGGCCGCGATGTTCACCTGACCTTAGGTCACCGATATCAAAATTTCGAGATAAACATTTTATAGATAATGTTGCTCTTATCAATCGCTGAAAGTTTCAAGGCAATCGATCAATCGGTGTAGCTATGACGAGCATTCTTATTTTTTCTGAGGTGAGGTCA